CTTAAAAGTTTATTTATGACAAACTCTTTTCATCTTGTCTTATGCCTAATTACAAGCTCTTCTTTATAACGAGCGTATTTTAATGGTAAAATACTGCATTATTTTTCATTTTCAGTAACGATTTTTAAAGATAATTCTCATCCATCAATGCCAACCTGGTTATTAAAAAAATAAATTGATGGATGAATTTTTGGTGCTTTAAGCTAAAGAAACACTTTTAACATGTGCATACTATAGTAGGTGTTAGAACATCTCTCTGTAAATATAGTCTATAGAACAACGTCCCTCCCGCGGCTAGTAAACGTTAACCTACTTTGCTAAATTACAGCGAATCAATGAAGATACAGTAATACAGAAATGCTTAAAGTTTATTTTCTTTTTTTATAGCAAGCTCGACTTAATAAACAACCGTAAGTACAATAACTAGTGTTGTCATATAAATTAGAAAATAGTTTGATAAATGATTTTTGTTCTTTGGGATTTGATATTTCAGTTGGTAAAGTAATGGCCTCAATATCCTAATACCAGCCAAGACTCTCAGTGGCAAGCCCTGTTTTGGGTACATTTCTTAGCATTATAATTTTACAAGATAATTAAAAATTTAACACGTAAAACAGACAGATCTTGTGCAAAAAAATTTTAGATAAAATCAAACGACATATCAACGTTTTCATTTGCACAATAAGTTATTTGTAAAGTTTAAAAACACAAGTTAAAAAACTCCACATGTTTCGGTGGAAATAACTCCCCGATCTTCAGGAGTGTGTGTGTTTTATTTTAGCAAATCCACATCGGACTATTTGTTGTGTCTACTGAGGGGAATCGAACCTCTGATTTTAGTATTGTAGATTCGAAGACTTACCGCTGTCCCATCGAAGTAAATCACGAAATACACATGAAGTTTCTTATAAACCTATTAACGTGTATAATTAACATGTTTTTTTACAGTGGCGTCACTTACAACAACGATTTCTAAGAACTTACTCCCATGGCTCCTGGACCTAAATCTCTATTTATATTCATTTTGTTTTTAACAATTTCCAAGGAATCTCTTATATTTAGTTCAACTTTTTCCAGTACCTGTTTATATGTTTTTCATTATCCCAGTAAATAACATGTGTAGAATTCCCACATGTTCTGCCAAAGCCGATTCATCCGTTTTTATTTTATCCACCTCATTTTGAGTTTCTTTTATTCTAAATTTTAAGTTCCTACTTGTTTGTCCACTATAACTTAGACCACAACTACATGAAATTTTATCCCTTAATTCAGACCCCCCCCCCCCAATGGTACAGCGTTATGTCTGCAGACTTACAACACTAGAAACCGGGTTTCGATACCCGTAGGGTGCAGAGCTCAAATAGCTCATTGTATAGCTTTGTTCTTAAATACAAACAAACAAACCCTTAATTTAATTTTATAATTAATGGTTTGAAATGATAAAACCTGAACGTGGCAGTTTCTAACTAATGCTTTATAAGTTGCACACATTACTTTCAATTAATGCGCATTAGTAAAACACCGGATTTTTTAATGGTGGAAAGTGAAAGACTTAGAGAAATTCTTCAGGGCCAAAAAACGAAGACGCTTGAATTAATTTTAAAACTACCCTATGGCATACATAATACTACATTCCTTACTACTGTCTAGGTTTCAGTAAAATATTCGTAGCCGTTTTTCTGTAGAGGCTTGTGAAACTATAATCCATAATAATAAGACTGAAGCCACTGTTATATATATGCACATTGTTTACTCTAATAAAACGAAGCATTTCTGATTAGTATAACGGTGCTTTAGTGGTTTCTACATTTCTGCGATGCCTGAATGGTTTATGTTGGTAGTGAAGAAGAACTTGGAAAATTTCAGAGGGTGAAAATCTCGACTTTCAAGAATCAACTTAAAAATAGTCCTGCAACCTTCGCAGGAGTTTATTTACTGGCTGTGCATAGATGTAAGCGTAGAATACCTAGTCGAATTTGTTGTAGGCTTCGGTGCTTGAATGGCTTCGAATAGAAAATTGACCAGTAGCAATAAAAAACTGATAAAATTTCTCCTTCTCTTTCAGGAATCAACATAAAATTATTTCTATGACCTGTGCAGGAGTTGTTTTTTTTAATAGGATTGCCAAGGTTTGAATAAAATATTCATTGTCATTTTTTCTGTAGGCTTGCAAAAGAAGAAGAATATGAATAA